GCTCCCCCTCACAACTCCCTTGGGGGTTGTCAGTCTTTATTGTGGCACTGCCAAGTTCCTCTCCCCATCCACACATTGAGGATATAGATCTTCAGAAATCCAGCTCTGAGCCCTCACACACAGGAAGTGGGGGAAGGGGAGAAAAAAAAATCACCTTTCATGGAAGCCAGCACTATGGATGAGTATTATCCCAGCCTCATTCTCTCTAAGTGGGTAACAGAGGGTCTATGATCCTCACCAGTATTGCTCTTGTGTTCCTGAGGAGACTGTCTCTGCTTCCCTTTCTCAGTCCCAGTCTTCCATCTAATAACATAAGGAAAACCTCACACACCCACCCCCCTCACCCAGAGATGTAGCTTTGTCTTTATCACAGGAGCGATAACTTTAAAAAAGGGTGGGATTTAGGGGTTATAACCAACTATGGATCCAGTTAACCCTAGCCTTCACAATACACAAATCAAAGGGTGATAAAGACAACACACATTACTTTAAATAAAGGTATAATTCATCCTGGCACAATTCAATCACCTGGCTTCCCAAAGCTCACTTATTTTTTCTAAGTCCTCCTACAAAAGGCTATAACAACAACAAAAGCTATTCCACCTGAAGTCTGGAAAACATATGCTGCTACAGCAATATACTAGCATTGATCTTTAGTCAGAAAATAAACTCACATTAGTGGAAAAGGAATGAGGATAGAACATGGTACCTAAAATTATAGGGGGCGGAGGGTTAAGATGGGAAGGTTTTTAGATGGAAAAAGTTTTTGGATTGTGCTAACATTGTCCTTTTCAACCAAAGTGCCATGGCCCCTTTGAAATATGAATAATATGGAGATCTAGATTTTAGTACTTTTTCTGAGATGGAGGTAAGGGAATATTGGAGAAACCCACAGAATCTCAGCAACTGACAGTTCACAGTTAATCCTCTTTTCAGATAGAAGCATATGTTAATCTTCAGTAATATTTTACCCAAGAAATATTCTTTCTATTCTGTTCTTTCTATTCACAATTTATAGAAAAACAATGGATATATATGGCCACTAGCTTACTGAAAAATTTCCCACAGACATCATCAATAAGTAGTACTGCCATTGTACATGTGAGATGCATGTCCAATAGGTATACTTTCCCCCTACAAGTGGACAATGCCCATCAGTTTAATACTAGTTGAAACCCAGTTATTAATTTTACGTTATATCCTGGGCTTGTTTCAGATAAAGCTGGGTAGAGCGCATTGAAGTTAAATCCTGCTTGCTTTAGTTACATGCAATTATGAATTCCGTGGTACCATAGGAATAAGGAAGCAAGCGGAATTTGTGTTTGACTGATTTTTGCTGATGCTCTGATAGAATACTGCTGCACCAACACAATTTAACTGAAACATTGGTTACAGAATTGACAATCCCTCTGATAAAGCTATATTAAAATAGGAGTTGTTGCTCCATATGTCAAATACCCTATAGAATGCCATAAAATCCTAAAGATTGCAGTACAATGTAGCTGAAAAAAAACCCACTACCAACCTTTTTATTGTAGTGATCTGAGTCAACATTTAACTGGAAGTACAACTAGAAATCTTGAATTTACTCTAATAAGTTTAATAGACAGATTGGCAAAGAAAATGTAATAGCTGTATAAATGTAAGTGAGATTTGGAAACGTCTTTCACTGGAATGCTTAACTGAACACATTATTCACTGGAACTTAAATTTCCTTTTGGAATGCATGCTGCTATTTGCCAGTTTTCTCCCCTAGCGAGCAAAGGTATAGTAGTTCCTCTCCAACAAAGCAAAGCGAAAAAGCAGTAATGTAATTTTCTGACAATTCCTTTTTTATTAAAATATTTTATTGCTGATCACTTTGAAGTAAAAGCTTCAATCAGCGTAACAATCAAATATAAACCATGTCCTTCATTGTAAAGTATTTAAATGATTTCCTATACTAGTATTCTGTTGAAAACAGCATGTTTTACAGTTACACGAGTTCATCCACTCACTATGTGGCAAGCGTAAAAAATGTACTGAAAAATAACTTGTCAAAAAAAGTGGTGCAAAAATAGATAACCTGTGCATCATTTTACCTAAGCTGATATTTTCTTTGAAATTAAAAACATATTCCAATTAAACATTAAAGTATGTCACAATTATACATTATTACCAAAACAAGCGATTAAAAAAACCCACAAAAATTAAACCATTCTGCCAAACGTAGTACTCACCAGGTGTGAAATTATATCGAGCAGAAAATCCCATCGATTCCAGCTCACCATCAGCAAAAAATTTAATCCACAGGAATCTACCACTAGATTTTATCACAGGTGGATTTTGCTGTCCACAGAAACGTCCGATGATTGGGGAAAAGCCAAAAGGTCCATCTCGCACTTCAATGTGATCAAATTTACACTCCCAAGAAGGCTCTATAGAATATTTTTCATCAAAGTGTAGCTCAATACATTGTCTGGGGGCAGCTAGAGGGGAAAGAAAGATTTAGAGTTACAACTTAATATTTTTTAACTTCCATAGTATTGAAAAATTATGAGTTTTTCCTGCATGTCATTATATTTTTCCTAAACCAATGGTTCTGTTTAGTATTTGAAAGACATGGCAATTTCTTCTGTAGATGTCACTACCTTAAACTTACATACCTATTATTTTCCTATGAAAAAGCATATTCAATACTATTTTAAGTAAGCTGAGAAAACCATTCATGATGCAAAACAAAATAGGACTTGGCAACAACTAGTTCAGAGAAATTCTGAAGGAATCCAATTAAAAGGTGAAACAATCTCTCTTCAGGAATCTTAAGGAAAATATACTTTTGTTTCAGTGCACGTGAAAATGAGAAATTCTCTCTTTAGAACTAGAGTATGACATTACAGATAAATTCTGTCCCCAGATATACTGATGTCAATGAGAGGCTGTATATAAATCCTAAAACAAAAGTTGGCCTTAAATAATTGCACCACCTGAAACACAACATTAAATACAGGAAAACATCATGTATGAAACCACCCAAACAGCAAGCAAAATTAGTTACCTTAACTAAATAATCAAACAATATGCTACTGGAAATCTTGAAGATACTTTAAAAAGATCACTTGATCAGAGAGTTGATTATATAAAAAAAAAAAAAGATACTAAACAATTTTTTTAAGGCCAGTAGGGATCATTGTGACAGTCTGACCTCCTGCATTAAAGACAAGAGAATTTCACCCCGTAATATGCACATGAAGTCAAAGAGCTTGTGATTTGAACTACAGCATCACTCTTAGAAAGAATTTTTAAATAAAAAATTGCACTTGATAGAGAATCCATCTAGGGGAGTTGTTCCAATGGTTAATTACACTATTAAAAAATGTGTGCCTTATTTTCAATTTGAATTTCTCCAGCGTTGATTTCTAACTGCTAGATCTTTCTATGCCTCTGGTAGATTAGAGAACCCTCAACTATCAGACATTTCCTAGAGCCATTTTATTAAATTCCTCTTAATGGGTCATGTCCAGATTGCACACATAGGTAAAGTTCTTTGAAGTCAAAAGGATATTTGCAGGAATGACCATACTTTTCACAATCAGAATTTTAGAGCCTAATTGTGGATTGAGTGCATATTTTAAGTACAGGAACTAAATGCAGAGATACATAGGGGTCAGAATCCTCTCACCCCTTTATCCTTTGGCAGAGTGCATGTTAGAGTGACAAAAAATGTAAGAAAAAAGTGGCAAAACTAAAACCTACACAGACATTTTTCAGTCATTTAAAAAGGGAGAGCTTCTGAGAAACATTCACTATTCATTTCAGAATGGATGCTAACTACAACGCACTAAATTACATACAAAGGGATAACTCAGACAATAAGAGTAGTTTGAGAGATAATGCTCTTCATAAAGGAGAGACTACAAGAATAAATATTGCACAAATGTACGGAAATCTACTTGAATAAAAAATCTGAAAAAAGTTCAAATATAGGACAAAGTTATTTAAGGAGAAACCCTTTATGGTGAAATATACTAACTTAAATTTTTCATCTAAAATGGGTTTCACATTTATTTTAAAGCATATTTTAAAGTTGAAAAAACCTTACCCACGTTCAAATTTGAAGTTTAGAGTCAAGAAGCTATTAATTATAGATACACAAGTATAAAACAAGAGGGCAAATTTACAATGATTTTTTGGAAGCTTTCTTTCTCTTATCCCCCTCCCATATCCCTGTTTTTTCATCCTGTGGAGTCAACAAGAGCAGGGCCCATCTCTTTACATAGAAAGAACTGCTTTTATAGTTGATGGAAGTAATGGGGATAGAAATAACCTGTGAATAGGAGAAAACACAAGAAGTAAAACACAATCATGTTATAATCTAGAGTCTATAAGGAATGTTTTATTCATTACTATGAATAAAAGTTTCAAAGATAAAGATCTTCTAAATTTAAATTAGTGATATTTTCAAGTTACTCTGTTTATCAAAGATTAATTTAGTTTAGATCTTTACCACTGAATACATGAGGTCGATTTTATATCAATTGTTAAATGTTATGCTAGAGCAGTTGAGAGTAATTAGAGCCTTGCAAAACTGAGGCCATATTTTGCATGTAAATGTTGGATGTAAGGAGATATCTGGAGATCAACTCTCAATTTATGGACTTCCAGATCAGGCCCTGGCATTTTTAAGTTGGTGTATGGGTCTTATCTTTATTGTGATGTAAAAGGAGGAGCTGAACAATATCTTTTATCCATATACTTCATATGTATTACTATCAAGTTTCTAGTGACTTGTTTCAAAAATTGAAAGTGAATTGTTAGTTCAGGTTGGGCCATTTATTCATGTTGCACAGAGCTTTCTGCATTTCCTTAATCAGCAGTGCCAAGGAAGACAAGAAACTGGCTCTATGTGGGCCCTCTGCCTTTGCTTCTGGGAGCATGACATTAATTTCATGTATTGTTTGTTTTTAATTAAACTGCCTGTGATAGAGAACCCTATCTCTTCATCACGCCAATACAGCCTACGAGAAATCTTGCCAATGATGATTCATAGTCAAACAAATGCTTGACCAAACATTGCTTGATTTCCAGGGATTATTCCACGTAGAGAGAAACGCCACAGAGATGATTCTGACTTATACGAAGACCTTTTTATACCGCTTTGTCATTGATAAGTAAATTACACTGCCAAAGTGGCATAAAGGGAGACTAAGTGAGAATCAGACCTGCACCTTGCACTTAGTTAAAACTCCCATTGGCATCCATGGGAGCTCTGCTTGACTAAGAAGTGGAAAATTCAGTTTGCTCTGTACAACAGCATTCTGAATCTTAAATCAATATGGTTTTAGGGTTTGAATTTTTTTTATTTCTCTCTCCTTTTATTTATTTCTAAATCAGGTTGAGACTCTTTTGCCTGAGTATGTCACTCTGCGTAGAGAGTTGTACAGCACCTTACTGCCTGTGGGAGTAGTCAGGCAAGGACTGTAATCACCCTGAGTTCTGCACTAAGGATGGAACATCTACCACACTTATTACATCTGGATCACCCTGACAGCCAATACAAGAGAGGACAAAGCTTTCACCTTCCCTATATGGGATGCAGCACTTTGTACACCCTAGGGTCACCCTGCAGCATGAGGGGTCAATTACCCCTAATTCTTGCAGAAGGTATGCCACTTTAGGAAGGGGTCTGAGGCCCTAGCCAAGTCTTCTGAATAATATGGCCTTTAGATGCTCCAGACCACATTATATTTTGCTTTTAAAAATGCATTGTCTTCTTGGATACTGTGTTTAAAGTGAAAGCTCGAAATCTGACAATATTCTGTTTAAGCGGGCAGCACAATATTAAGCAAATTGTAATCAAACTTATTTGATTAATTGGAAGAACAAGAAGTAGGACCAAGAGGACTTAAGGCACTAAACTTTTACAATGTTTTATTTCTGAATGCAGTTTTTGTACACAAGTCTACATTTGTAAGTTCAGCTTTCATGATAAACAGATTGGACATCAGTTCTTGTATCTGCTGAATTGAAACATTTTATTTTCACTTTTTTACAATGCAAATATTTGTAATCAGAATATAAAGTGAATACTGTACACTTTGTATTCTATGTGAAATAAATATTTGAAAATATAAAAAATATTTAAATATTAATAGTGTGATTTCATAAACAATTTTTTTTTATTGTTTGATGTCCCTAGAACAAGTGACTCAAGTATTCCTAAAAATAGCTATTGCTAATGAAAAAGCCACAGCCCAAATCCTTGCTTCTGGTAAAATACTGCAGGCAAATACAAGACTGATTTCTACAAAACTTCCTCTTTGTTTACAGCAAGTTAGGTATGAAGCCCTTCCTGTTCCCTTGCTTGCTGCACAATAACACAATGAGTCCACTTATGCTTCCAAGCAGGCCACAGTAACACCTATCATTTTATATTTTCCCCCATAATGTACAAGAAGAGATATTCATTAGTGGGAAGGTAAATCCTGGAATTTTTACTGATGTGTAAAGCCTTGTGTTGGCTATAAAAATTGTGCTTATAATTAAGGCAGAGGATAGGAGTAAAAATACTTCTGGTATCTCATCTTAAGAAAGATTCTTTAAAATTATATAATTATCTTTCTTCTGGGACTTTTATCAACATGGAAAGACTACTTAATGCTTACATGTCTTGTCATCTTTTTAATCTAATTAGCTTACACAAGTGCTGTCTTTAGATGTTATATATTTGCTGGGGGGGGGGGAAAGAGACACTGGTTGCTAACTGGTTCTAACAGTTGCAGCAAAACACATAATTAAGGTTTTAATTCTGAGCAGGCTGTTAGTCTGTGCAATTGACAGCTGAAGTTTAAAAAAAAAAATCTGTTTTGTTTAGCAGATTATCTGGAAGTGAGACAATGATCTAAACATCTACTCCTGAATTGTGAGCTACTGCAAGACTAATGGATTTGCTTAATCCTTGACATCTCCAGTTGCTCAGATCCTACAAAACACATGAAATATTCTGTGTAAATGCACTTATATTGTTACTCAAGCAGACAGCTTTTCTTTATAGTGAAATATCACAGCCCTACAATATATACATACAGACATACTACCTGTATCTGACACAAACAATGTAAGAAAGTTAATGATCTCTGAAAAGACAGATGCCTCAAGAGATTGACCTTTAATTTTGTATTGATTATAAGATGAAACATGCAAGCAACATTAGTATCCAAAAATATATAAATGGGAAGATTTGATAACTTTATTCGAGTTCATAAAAATGATTCCAAGCATTCCCTATTTATTAAGCAAGCATTTAATCATAGAATTGATCTAAATGTGAATAAAAAGTTTCTGCACTTCCAGCACAAAAGTTGAAATGTATTGTATGTTTGACTGCCACTCTCAGAATATATTTAACACAGATAAAACACTTCATCCTTGAAGTTGCACCATGTGCACAATTCCTGTTGAAATCAAAGAGAAATTCATTGCTGACAAAAGCAAACATACAGTAACTTCCAAGAGTGAATTTTATCCAACAGGAGCTGTGCATGTGAGAGTTGTGTGCAGAATCTGTCCCAATGTGAAATTAATAAGCACATTGATTTTTCTTTCCCCAATAAAAGTGGCAAGATCAGGTCCATATTAATAGATTTTTCATGGCCAGATATGGCAGTTCTGATTTTCCTCCATAACACAGGTTCTAGAACCTCATGGCCTCGATGCCAGAATTCCTGCATCAAGGCTGTAATTTCTAGAACATCTCTTTTAGAAAGCATCCAACATTGATTTAAAAAATTCTAGTGATGGCCGAACCACCATATCCCTAACTATTCTAATGATTACCCTGACTGTTAAAATAATTGCATGTCAGTTTTAGTCTGAATTTGTGTAGCTTCAGCTTTCACTTGTTGGAACTTATGTCTTTGAAGGTTAAAGAGCCTTCTGCAAACAGAATTCTATCCCCCTCCCACCCACACCCACACACTCCCCACAAACATTTAGGTGCCCATGATCACGATCATGGCACCTACTATGGACACATTCTTTATCAAAGAAATTTTCAGTCCTTAAAGTGTGACACACATTTTAAATGAGCTACATTATTTTACATTTTTATAGTAAAATAAAATCATTTCAGTACCACAAGACAAATTCTGAAGCACTTAAATCCCATTGAAGAGTAAGTGGAAATTTTGCCTTTAGTAAAGGCTTCAGGACTTGTGCTGTTGTTTTATTGCCCCATTGCGTATTATTTTACACAATGAATACTTCAGAATATTATATTCTATGAAACTCATTGTCACAAGTTACATAACATAGGATAAGAATATAAAAGGTAAAGAAAGTGCTTTGACTATGAAGGCATAAACCACCCACAGAGATAGCTTGAAGCTTCTGAACCTAATGCCTATCTGAACCTTATACCTTGTGATTGTTATAGGGATTCCAATACTGTTGTCAGAAGTTTCTGCTGTTGGAGAGGATACCAAATAAGATGGACCAGTGGGCTGATCTAATATGAGAATTCTACATTACTAGATCCTATTTGTAAATTTTAGATACTTGCACAGAATAGACAATCACAGATGAAGGATGCTGCTTAAATGGCACTAAGAAGTGAACCAGACATTCATCTTTCATTTAACACACACAGACAGAACCCCCCGCCCCTTCCCTTACATGCAGTGTTTTTGTAACCATGCTGGTCCCAAGAGAGACCAAGATTGATCACAGCACAGCATGGGATAGTAAGATTCCCCCATTCAGTAATCTCATATAATGTTTCAATAATTTCTCTCCTCTTATTCCATATATATCCTTGCATTCAGATATATTTGTTTAAAAATAACCCCACAACAATAGTTTCATAATAAGAAAAAAAATTGAAGCACACTGTATACAAGGACACTTAGGTTTGTATTTTGTTTGTTACTACAGCTAGTTTAGACAAGAAATCTGCACAAGTTCAAATCATTCCTTACTCTGTATATTGCAGCACCTCTCAACATCAAATGTCATCTGCATCCTGCAGTCTATTTGCCTTAGTAGCGTGCTTCTCAAATTCTTAACCCATTTCTACAGTTTTGATTATCCTAAATCATTTTAAGTAAACTGCATATTTTGTCAGTCCCATTGTCCAGATCCCCAAATGAATATATTCAAACAACAAATGACCAATCCTTTGTTCAGAGAGGAAAAAAAAAGAGATAGTCTTGTGGTAAGGTATAAGAACTTTGTTCTCATCTCTTCCACAAGCATCCTTTGTAACGCTGAGAAATGGCACAGTGTCCCATTCATCTTTGGTCCAATGAGGAGAAGATCTATCAAAAGGCTGGAACTGGTGTAGAGGATACATTCATTAATGTATGCAAGAAGCTCAAATTCTAGGAGCATAAACATCACAGTATGGGAAAAAATATGATAGCCTTTTACATGTTGGAAATTGACCTAACGCTTATGCTTTCTCTCAATTTCTAATCCCTGACAGAACTTAACCTGTTACTTCATGACTGCATAGTTTCCTTAACCTATTCTTGTGCAGGACAAGTCTAGTTTCAAAAAAGCCCTGTTTTTCCTTTATAGGTATTGTGCTTGTCTGTCCCCATATCATATTCAATTTGATATTTTATAGTTTTCTAATTTTTGTTTTTAATCAATTTTCCTGGTAAAGAAAAATTCAGATGTCTGGAGCTCCCAAGATCTGCTCTGCTACCTGGTTTAAGAAGAGTTCTAAGAAAGCTCAAAAGCTTGTCTCTTGCATCAACAGATGTTGGTCCAAATATTTTTTTATATTATATATACACACACATACACACACACCTCTCCCACCTTCTCTTACGTGTTTAAAAAAGATTGATAACATTAGCTGCCCTTGAATCCCCTAATACAGTAACAATTTTTTAATCAAATGGCATATTGCTAGTATCTCCAGGCCAAGTTTAAAAGCATTTAGGTGCATATGAATTTAAGTATGCAGAGAGATGTCTAACCTCATTGAAATCAATGGTATCCTCGGTAGGTTTGAAAATCTCACTGGAAACCTCAGTAGGTTCGAAAATCTCACTGGAAACCCATCTGCATCTACATAGTTGTCCCGACGTTACTTCATTCATATCTAAGTGTTTCTATCTAGATCAGCAGTTCTTCAATTGTGGATTGGGACCACAGCATGGTTTGCTGATGCGTTTCAAGAGGGTCAGCAGGGCTGGCTTAGAGATTTGCCTGAGACCAACCACTCCAGACCAAAGCTGAAGCCTAAGACTTTCAGCACTAAATGCCAGGGTTCAGGTTACAAGTCCCCCTGCATGAGTCTGAAGCTCTTGGGCTTTGGTTTCTACACCCATGGTGGCAGGGCTCAGGAGGACTCAGACTTTATATTCCCCCTTCTGGGGTCATGTAGTCACTTTTTCTGGCATTGTTAACTCTGACAATACCCAATCTTTATTACCTTTACCAGACCTAATATTTGCAAGTATTGCAGCCAAGTCTGAGAGGGAGAAAACAAAAAACAATGTAGCTTGTATTTAATGTCCTTAATTGCTTTGAGACTTCTGGATTCTAAAGTACTTGAGTAAATTTCTCAGTTGATTTGATACAATGAGATATTGGAGAATGAGTAGCCAAAGGTATCTGCTATGGCATGTAATCCTTTTTATTGGAATCACTTTTCCTTACTTTTTGTAGTTTTAAAAATAAGCACCTGTTTGGTTTGCAGAAACTCCTTAACCAAATAAAAAAGTGTAATGTTGGATTGCTTTTGAATCTCGCCTTCATGGTTCCCTATTTATGTGCACCTTCTGCGATTCAGTTTTAGTATACTTAAGAAGCTTCTATTTGAAGTCTAAGGACTTCAATCTCCTCTCTTTTACTCTTTCACTTAGCCATTTAAAAGAAATCCATTTGAAAGTTTAAATTTGATGGTACTGATTTTAGGTACAGTCAGTTCCCGAGTGTATTTACGTAACTACACTGTAGTCATTCTTAGTGAGTTACCCTAAGTAACAATGGACAACCCGTGTGCTTTAAATTTCGTCAAGATTCCACTTATGCTCTAACAAGTACCTTTCCCACAAAGCAATAATTTAAGATACAAAAAAAAAAATCCCTGCTGCATTAAATCTTGTCTCCTCTTTGACCAAACTATCAAAAATGTTTTCCAAAAAGTTTAGAATGATCACACACAAACTCCTAGGTTGTATGAGAGATAAAAGATGTTTGTGAGAAAACCAGTTAGTCTAAACAGAAAAAAAAAAATGTAAAAAGGGAGTCACTAGTTTTTCACCTTCTATAATGTAGACACACTCTCTGTCAGGAGGATACTTGTTGGGATAGTTGGGAGAAGTGAAGATGCCTCCTTCTGCATATTTTGTCCAAGTTCCACACTGCAGTGGTTTCTGCCCTTCTGAAGTCGTTTGCTTTTCTACTTAAAACAGGAAAAAAGAATCACGTCACAAACACCATTTTTTGTCTATAGTACACTTATAGCTATTTACGATAGTATGTTCCTATTAAGGGTCTAAACCTGCTTCCATTGATGCCTATGGGAGTTTTACCATTGACTTCAATGGGAACAGAGTTAGGCTCCAAGGGCTTAAACGAGTCATCCACACTCAGAATAGCCTTCCATTGCAAAATCAGGCACTGGGTCCTATAAAGTTATCTGCACATTTATAAAACTTTTTTTTTTTAATTTTCATCAGTTCACCTTGATGCAAAATAATATGTACAGATGAGTACACTATGAAATAGTTAAATATCAACACCCTCCATTTTTGGACAGTTATGTCCTGTAAATAACATACCTGTTCCTTTTTTTGTTGCCCCAGCCAGATGTAGGATGATTAGACTTGCTGCAACTGAAAAGCAAAAATGTTATATAAAACATGAGATTATTGCCTGCAATTAAAGCAACGTCTGACTCAATACAAAAACAGACTTGTGTGGTGGCATTACAAGATACTTCTAAAAATCTGAGTTTACAATTTACAAGTGTAAGCATATTTATCCTGATAGAAGTGTCTAGGTAAATATGACATCTCTATACTTTGAAAAGACATTTCATGATGTTTGGGTTCTCCCCCCCCCCCCCCCCGGGTTGCCCATATTTATTTATTTGGTATGCTCAAAATTTGGGATCAATAAAAAGGTAGAGTAATGGCTATGAACAAAGTGACAATACAGACTGTTATAAAGGGTTGGTGGCACAAGTCTTGCTCTAAATCCCCTTTATTAGCTTAAGGTATAAAGACAGGGTTGGCCTTATAGTGGGCAATATGGGTGACTAACCACAACACTGTGGTCAAGAGTTAAGGGTAGGGTGGGCCTGGGATGTGAGGCCATTAAAGAAAGTTCAAGGCAATGGGGAGGTAACAGGGCCCAGGGGAGCCAAAACAGGAGTTCTCCCAGGATGACATTTTCCTTAGGGCCAGCCCTACAAAGGGTTTGAATACTAATGTGCACAAAGTGAAGAAAAACACATTTCTCCATCACCACCAAAAGTATCCATAAAACCCTGCACAAGAATTGTTCTGAGTGACGTGGGGAGTGAGAATCATAAATCCAGTTTAATTTGAACTCTCTTACAGAGAGAATTGCTTCTTGCAGTGAGGAATATTCCTTTTTTTTTTTAGGCAGATAAAATTTCTAGAAGCTGGTTCAAGATATCTGCATCCATGGTGGCATATCAAATCTTCCGAGTCTTCTTTCATTTCTTGAGTTTAATCTTCAAAATACTTCCTCTAGTTTCTAAAAGTTGCAGGCTAAGTCTTAAATCTATGGCACTTTAGACTGGAGATACTGGAGCCATTATCAGAATGGATGGCCCTTCAGAAAAGCAAGGTGACAGTTTTCTTAGAGGAGTTTTAACAGTCACAAGAAATGATCTCTTGATGTTGACAGTCTCTACAGTTATCTTGTCATGGATCGGGTAGTAACTTTTTTTAGAAAAGCAATCATATCTGTAACACTCAGGTCTTTACCACCTGCATCCATATGTCATTCAGCCCAGGCACCATACAAAAAAAAAACTGCGCAGGTTCCTAGCCCAGTAATTAATAAAGATTGAGTATCCACCCTGATTATTTTAGATCAGCTGCCATTGATACAGCTGTCCATGAGAACGTTTTGATATACTCATGGATCACAGCAAACTCAAAAAGGGGTTGCTCTTGAATAGCTTCCTTTTTGTCCTGATAGCACTGGGAAAAATGCCATCTACACCAATAACCCTTTCATATAGAGTTCTACATGGTTGTCTATTGTCTCGCTTTTTGTGCTCAATGTAGAATGTATAACCATTAGGAGAGTTGGAGAGAAAACACAGTATATGGTGCTTTCAGTATCCTGATGACACCCAAATCTGTATTTCTAGGTCAGAAAAGGTTGTGTATTACAAGCCTTGCAGAAGTTTGTTTAAACTTTTTTTTTTTTTTTAGTCTCAAACAGAGACTGAATTGATGAAGAAAAAAAATGCACTGAGAGCATATCCACATAATTATCCTGGCCAGCTGTCTTGTAGGATCCCCATCAGCTACTGGCTGTACAGCTAGAAGTTGGAAAATAAAAATACATCATTTGCACTTTGCAAGAAAACTGCAGCTTTTTTTCAGATATGGATCGGACACTGGCATCCACAGCCTTACTGCAACACATATATGAGATTAAGAATCTGAAGCTAGTGTCAAATGCAGCTGCTCATTCATTGAGGCAATGTTCCATGGAGGAAGCACATAGCAATTCTGTCTATGATCTGTCTATGGAGAGTGTAAGGTTTTCATTTTGTATTGTACTGCCAAACCAACTGCAGAAGTTCTCTGTCCATCCTCATAAATTCACAGCAGTTGCAATCATAGATACTCAACCTATTACCTCCACTGATAAATGGGAGGAATTCGCTGGCAGGGAACTCATACGAGGGGCCCAATTCATACTGGGGCAAAAAACAAGTACTGCATGAAGGTGAGGGTTGAATGGTATGTGCGTAAATGTATTTTCTGCTGGGACAGCTGTTATGTATTACTTGTTTTAAATCTATGTGCATCTTCTAAATTTGACTAACATACTGTTTGAAAGACAAAGAGAATGGAATCCACTGATCAGTCAACGGAGAGGGAGTATACTCTTCAATTCAACCCACCAATCTAGGAAACATTGTAGCTCTCTCAGGAGACACCACTTACTAGATGTTTGACACTACTTTATCCTTATAACTAGCACCTTACATTGGAGGACCTCACATTATTAAATATTAATATTCTCCCTTTATAGGTGGAGGAACTGAGCCACAGAGAAGACAGATGACAAGCCCAGGTTGCCAGGAACATTGTAGCAAAGATGAGAGGAGAATCCAGGTCACTTAAATCCCAGCTGTCAATTCTAACCATTAGAAACAATACTTTTTAATACACTTAAGTAAATTGCTCCAAAATGGAGAGTGATACTTACAGTTTGGGATGATAAAACTGTATAACACAAACTTGAAATTAAAAGACAGACAAAAGCTTAAGGAGACTGCTTAATCCTGACACTGTGTCCAACACAACTGTACTGGTTCAAGAGAAATACTTGCTCTCTTTACCTCCCATTGAGTAATCTAAACTGGGGGGTTTTAAAGCCAACATCACAAAAAATATTTATATTGCCACAAAGACCTATGTCTTTCTTCAGTACTTAAAGAATTATGGAAGCTGGCCCATTAAAACTTCAAGGCAAAGACTCAATAACTTATCTGTCTAGCAAATGAATGTTAGCCAGTGCAGAAATATCTCAAGATGAATATGCTTATCTTTCTCTTACTTAAGTGTACTGGATTACAAACAATATTTTGCATATTACATTCACTTTAAAACCTGATTCCTTTCCCCCTCTCTTACTGCAGGAGAAGTGCAGATATTGCAGTACAGACAATAAATAAATAAAACTAGAAGACGAGCTCAATCTTGCAAGCTTTACTCAGGCAAAACTGCTAGTCAGGGAGTTTTGGGGATATCAACTTCCTTTCAGAAATCATGTAGGTTTGGGGATTTTTTTAAAAAAATAGCAGATCTACCTTATTCCTTCTTGATTTCTCCTCCCCCAATCCTCCAGCCCCATTTTCTAGTCTAACTGTAATTAGGCTTATTTGAGTTCCTGATTGTGGATCTGAGACCAATTCCATTATACATCCATATTTGAAGAGGCTTAGCATTTGGCCCCAACAGCTGCTAAAAAAATGTAGCTTGATATCTAAGCTCTAACCAAGTAAAGAATATTTTAACACATTATTAAGGGATATTGTTTCAGATACTTCAGTGAAAATCATCACCCTTTACACACACTTTTTTTTGGCAGGGGCGGGAATGAGAAAATGCCAATTTCAGGTCCCCCCATGGTCACACTGTGCCATAGAATAGTGATAGAAATGTAGCCCTGTTAGTCTGGGGTAGCTGAAGCAAAATGCAGGACAATGTAGCACTTTAAAGTCTAACAAGATGGTTTATTAGATGATGAGCTTTCGTGGGCCAGACCCACTTCCTCAGATCAAATAGTGGAAGAAAATAGTCACAACCATATATACCAAAGGATACAATTAAAAAAAATGAACACATATGAAAAGGACAAATCACATTTCAGAACAGGAGGGGGATGCAGGGGGGGAGAGGAAGGAAGGTAAGTAAGTGTCTGTGAATTGATGATATTAGAGGTGGGGAGAGTGGGACGTCTGTGAGCTAATGGTATTAGAGGTGATAATTGGGGAAGCTATCTTGGTAATGGGTAAGATAGTTTGCGTATTTGTTCATTCCTTCCCGGAGAGGGCCCACTGATATTCTCAACCGTGTTTTAAATGGCCTCGGTACGGAGGATACTTGTGATACTCGCTAAACCGGAGCCGTGTAAATCTCCTCGCGTTCCTTCACTCCCCTTGTGTTCTGACAGGTCATTATTACGGAATGCGTAGCGTTGTCAGTGCGCAGCTCGCCGCCTTCACGTAGCTGCGCTCCCCGAGAGCGGACTCCCGCTCCACCTGAATGGAGGTGGGATGGAGAACGCTGCAGCGTGGGAAGCGAGTCCTCACCAAGAACAAGGGCTAGGATTCCTGTCCACTGAGCTCTCCGAACTCCCATAGGACACGTCCTCGCACCGAGAATAAGCCTCTCCTAATGTCAGTGCGCAGCTCGCCGCCTTCACGTAGCTGCGCTCCCCGAGAGCGGACTCCCGCTCCACCTGAATGGAGGTGGGATGGAGAACGCTGCAGCGTGGGAAGCGAGTCCTCACCAAGAACAAGGGCTAGGATTCCTGTCCACTGAGCTCTCCGAACTCCCATAGGACACGTCCTCGCACCGAGAATAAGCCTCTCCTAATACCGAG